GCCGGGCGGGCCTCGCGTCAAGCTAGCTTTCGCGGCAAGCTAGCTCCAACGGCTCAGGCCTGGTAATTGTAGCTAGATGCCGTTGTTAGCTTAGCCAGAAAGCTAGCGTGGGCAATTTGATGGAAATGGACGTGATTTGCCGCTCGCGTGTGACACCGAAGCTCAACACGTTGGCCGCGTTGCCTCAGAGTCATCACCGACTCAGTTCTTAAAAGTGACAGCGTTTGATGCTGACGCTAGCGGCGTGAGCGGCTCCGCTTAGCCGCTAGCAGCCGGGCCACTGGAGCCCAACGTGCCAGCAGGTGGGACCGAGAGGAACTGAAGTGAAATGCGGTCATGGTTAGCATCACCGTTACCCCGCTACCCCCGGGACACATCACTGTTAATCGCGTCAGGCCTTCGCTAACAACACCGGTCTTTAATTAAATTCAACTGTGTGTTTTAACCGGTGTTTCCGTCGTAACGTCAGCGTACGTCAACGATTAGTCATTTACACCCTGACTCATACTCGTGTATGACTGGAGCAATCAAAGTCATCTCTTTATGGTGAAATCCTAACACATCCTCGAGAATCAGTTTCCAGTGTGTTCCACCCCCACAACGTGGCGTAACGAGGGACTTGAGATTTGTGTCCTTTTTGTGTTTTAAACTCAGCCCTGCACAACCATGCCATCCGACTTGGCCAAGAAGAAGGCAGCAAAGAAGAAGGAGGCCGCTAAAGCCCGTCAGCGCACCAAGAAGTCAGACGAGCTCGGCGAGGAGGGTGAACAGCCAGAGGCCCAGAGTAACGGAGCGGAGAGCAACGGTGAGAGGACTGATCTGAATAAACATTGTTTTATCTCCACAGCCATTTCTGAGAAGCACCCTGGCACCCCGTCACTTTTATTTGAGGCAGAGGTGGACATTAAACTCTGAATCACTGTTTTTGTTTCAACAGGTATTGACTGTTTGACTAAGGAGCTTGATGAGTTTGAGCTTCGGAAGACGGAGGCGCGGGCAGTGACAGGTGTTCTAGCCTCACACCCAAACAGCACTGATGTCCACATTAGCAGCCTGTCGCTCACCTTCCATGGGCAGGAGCTGCTCGCAGACACCAGCCTGGAGCTCAACTCAGGCAGACGCTACGGCCTTCTTGGACTTAACGGAACAGGTAATTGATTTATGTGCCACAGGATGTTTCCAGTCAGTGGTGTATCTGCTCATAGATATGTTTCAGGGTGGTCTCCCTGACTTGATGTGACCTTAACACTCATTAAGCACTAGCAGTTCTAATAGTAAGTAATATAATTTTTTTTTTCTGTTCAGGAAAATCCATGCTGTTGTCAGCCATCGGGCTTCGTGAGATTCCCATCCCAGAGCACATCGATATTTACCACTTGACCCGGGAGATGGCCCCCAGTGACAAGAGTGCTCTGCAGTGTGTGATGGAGGTGGATGAACAGAGGATTATGCTGGAGAAGGAGGCAGAGAGACTTGCCCATGAGGACTGTGAGTTATATGTGATGCACCATGAAATGATAAACTGTGGAGGGCAAACGTTAAACAACTTGGCCTGAGCCAACAGACATGCAGCAGTGAAACATATTTCAGAACAGCCTTGCATATTCTTATGCAGCTAGATGAAATAAATAGTAAATGTATCTCTTTTCCTTCCCAGCTGAATGTGAGAAGCTGATGGAGCTGTATGAGCGTCTTGAGGAGCTGGATGCAGACAAGGCAGAGATGCGAGCCTCACGGATCCTCCACGGTCTGGGTTTCAGCGCTGCTATGCAGCATAAGAAAATGAGGGACTTCAGTGGAGGATGGAGGATGCGTGTTGCTCTGGCCAGGTAAAGACCATGAGCTTCTTTGACATTGTATGTAAGCTACTTTGTGTCAAGTGCAGCTAAATGTGTTCTCAGCAGAGCGGCATCTTGCACTGGCCTCATTTAATTCAGAATGTTCCTGTTTTGCTCTTAAATCAAGATCATTTTCTGAGTGAAACCGGAGGCTAACAAAGGCATCACACATTTATACAAATACCCCTGGAAGAGAAGTAGCCCATGTTTGGACAAAAAATTATTGTATCTGCTTTAGAACAAAATGATTCAAGATTGAAATTAAAGAGTTCATATAAATTAAGTTTCTGTGACACATTTTCTGTAATTTAAACTAAAATTATTATCCACTGTTTTTACAGAGCTCTGTTTATCAAGCCCTTCATGTTGTTGCTGGATGAGCCCACTAACCACTTGGACCTGGATGCTTGTGTGTGGTTGGAAGAGGAGCTCAAGTCGTAAGTTAACTTCCTATTTCATTGCTGTATTAGTCCGAACAGTTACGTACATATTTGATGTATGTGTGGAGATGTGTACTAATCGACCTGATGGTTCTCTTCAGGTTCAAGCGAATCCTTGTGCTCATCTCACATTCTCAAGACTTCCTGAATGGTGTGTGCACCAACATCATTCACCTACATCAGAGAAAACTGAAATATTACACGGTAAGATCACTTGCTGGTTCTTAAAGTAAAATTAAGAAACTTTGGCATCATTGGAAGGTGTTAGACGTATCCTGAACTCACTGCCTCCTGCAATGTCCTCATGCTAAATAAGGATACCAGGGGTAGGCTGTTGCTATTTCTGTGTGTGGGAAGACCTGTTGGATGACCATGCAAATGTATTTTTATCTCAAGGGTAACTATGACCAGTATGTGAAGACCAGAGAGGAGCTGGAGGAGAATCAGATGAAGCGCTTCAACTGGGAACAGGACCAGATAACACACATGAAGGTGAAAAAAAATATTCCATTACTACGTGGTGTACGGATTTCACTGCCAGTAATCAAATTGTAAACAACTGAATACATTTTTAGAAAATGTGAAATTAATCCTATTAAAAGAAAAAAGCACAGAGGTTCCATTTTGTACTACAAAACCCATTCTATTCACTGTGGCTAATGCTGAGGCAGCGTAGTTAATAAAGTGATCACCTGACAGGGAGTAGGCTACAACCAACACAACCACAAACAGTTAGCTGGGGAAAACCCTTCAAGTGACTAATCTTGTTTTCTAAGCAGTGACTTCAAACCATTATTTTGCAGTAAAGTCAATCAAGATGTGCACTCATTGTTCTGTTTACACCTCTCCTCCAGAATTACATTGCCAGGTTTGGTCACGGTTCTGCAAAACTGGCCCGACAGGCACAGAGCAAAGAGAAGACTCTGCAGAAGATGGTGGCGTCAGGCTTGACTGAACGAGTTGTGAATGACAAGGTACTGCTGTGGTCTACTGATAGGCTCCTAATGGTGGTTGGCAAACTGACCCCATTAAAGACGAGCAGTGGTTTTGACTCGGTGACACACACTGGGTGAGGTTTTTTACTTTTGATACTAATGCCTCCCTGCATCTCCCGCAGACTCTGTCATTTTGTTTTCCTCCCTGTGGGAAGATTCCTCCTCCCGTTATCATGGTTCAGAATGTGAGCTTCAAGTACAGTGACAACACAGTGAGTACGCTTAATAGAGATTTGTTCATAGAAAATCTGGAGTCATTTCTCAGTCTCACTCATCTGTTCATGTTTCCTGCAGCCGTACATATATAAAGACCTGGAGTTTGGTATTGACTTGGACACACGAGTGGCTCTGGTGGGGCCCAATGGAGCAGGGAAGTCTACGCTACTGAAGCTGCTGATGGGAGAGGTTGGTATTACACAGACCCTCAGCATCCTGCAACAACTCGCTGTTTTCTGAGTTACCATTTGATATTTTTCCTCTTTGTAGCTCCTACCCAGTGACGGCATGATCCGCAAACATTCTCACGTCAAGATTGGCAGATATCATCAGGTAAACCACTGCAGTGCACAACCTCATCTGAATCAGGGCAAAATTCACAGCAGGACACACATTGCAAAGTTCTTGTGAAGTGGCACCTACACTAAAATTTACTGTCCCCCATGTTTCTTTTGTTACAGCATCTGACAGAGCAGCTGGAGCTGGACCTGTCTCCTCTGGAGTACATGATGAAGTGTTACCCTGATATCAAAGAAAAAGAGGAGATGAGGAAGATCATTGGTCGTTACGGCCTGACGGGAAAACAGCAGGTGGAAAAAGAATTTTCCAGAGGATACCTGATTCAAAGAGTGTGAATTTACTCTTTTGCTTTTTAGCCTTCGCTCTGAGTTGACTCCTAAAATGTTTTCCAGGTCAGTCCAATCAGGAACCTGTCAGACGGTCAGAAGTGTCGGGTGTGTTTTGCCTGGCTGGCCTGGCAGAACCCTCACATGTTGTTCCTTGACGAGCCCACCAATCACTTGGATATCGAGACCATTGATGCATTAGCAGATGCAATCAATGAGTTTGACGGCGGCACGATGCTGGTTAGCCACGACTTCAGGCTAATTCAGCAGGTGAGCATTATCATTTGATGGATTCATGGAATATTTGGTTTGAAACAGAGCTGTGCAACAAAGGTGTTAAGTTAAAGCAGTTTTGATTAGAACCATTTTAATCCTTCCTTCAGGTGGCGCAGGAGATCTGGGTTTGCGAGAATCAAACCATCACAAAGTGGAACAGGGACATCCTGGCGTACAAGGAGCACTTGAAATCAAGGATTGAAAAGCAAGCACATGACATCTAAATCAACATCACACTGAGCCACTCCTTTATCTTGTATTATGACCTGTAAGCTCACAAAGGGATGAGCCGGATTTGCATCGCAGGAAATCTCCCAATGACAAGAACTGAAACAATCTCTTTATGCATCTTCTCAGACGCGTCTCTTGAACATGTTGTACTGTATTTCCATTTCGGTTTGACAGTGCTGCATCGTGCTACACCCAACCCTCTCCTCACCTCAGGCTGCACTCTGATTGGCTGATTCACCCGAAGCATCTCAGTGCATTGTGGAATGCATTCCATTGTGCTGTGTTCATAGAAAAGTTTTATTTTTCCAAATGTTCTGTTTTATCCCATCACGTATGCAGCAGCTTTTAGGTCATATTTTATGATATTTAAAAGTTGACTTTTTTTTTTTCTCCGCGTAGAAGCAGTTCTGCCTTATTTAACGATGTAATGCAATAAAGAGTTTGTCTGAATAAACGGAACATAAAAACAGCACATTTAGTCTCAGATAGTTTTTTATTCATTTTAAACTTCATGAATACAGTGCTGGTATCTTCAAATTAAAGGCCTTCAGGAAAAAAAAAAAAAGGATTAACATGTCTGTAAAGGAGGACAAAACTTGAAGTGATAAATTGCTTTGGATTCTGATGTGAGCCGCATGGCTGCATATATATACCATCTCAATACAGCCACTACACTATACTTCTCTCACTAAGTAACTGAAACTGACTTGGCTGTCCCAAAAAATCTTGGCATTTCTTGACACACTAACATTGATAAAATAAGAATCTAAAAAAGCCACTTAAAAAACATCAATTGAGGCCAATGCATCTCCAGGATGCAATTTTGAAAAAAAAAATATAATAATTTCAGAAAGTCTCTTAACATCCTCATGTATCTGATTTTAATAATGTATTCTTAAATTTCCTTCATTGTCTAACACCCCTTCAGGTAAAACTGAAATGGAACTGATGCCGGCCATTAATGCATTTAATGGCAAAAAAAATACAAAAGTTTGTGGTAAATTTAAACCGTGGGCTGGATATAAAGATAGAAGACAAGAGTGAAGCAGACTGTCATCCATCTCTTTATACAGTCTATGACTTAAAGCCACTCAAACCTAACAGTGGTGGACATCTGTATTTGAACCAAGCACATTTGGTTCAAAAGACAATTAGTTAAATAGTTTGTCATTTAATTTCTAATGTCATTAAACTGTTATTTATTACAGTCTGAAAATACATGCTATGTTATACGTTACATTTCCAACATAAAGTACATTTCTGTCTATCACTGTTGTCTGAAACATACGAGGCTGCACATAAAGCTATAACGTTTGTCAGGTGGACTCGTCCAGAGACCAAGGGCTGCAGTGTGTGCGAGTAAATACTGATTGATTCTATGTACAGTATGTAAACATTATTAACGGCCTAATTGTTAAACAAGGCTCCCATTTAAGGTTCCAACTTAGCGTGCATGACTGACAGATTAGTGGCACTAGATGCAGTTGAAACAGTGCAAGTTGAAGGAGTTTTTTGGTTACGCCGTTTCCAGGTGATCCTGGAGGCAGCGGGGGTAAAAGAGGACAGCAGCAGCCAGAGGTGCGCTCAGGTGCAATATGAGAGAATCAAACCGGGGGGGGTTGATGCTCACTGGGCTTCCCACTCCTCGTCTGACGCCTCGTCAGGGGGGATGGCTCGAGTGTTGCTGGCCCGAATGCTGTTGATGTTGGTGAAAGAGAGGAGGTTCGCGATACCCATCAGACTCACACCGGTGCCGTCCAGGTTCACTTGAGCCAGGTGCATGTGTTTCAGAAACTTGAGACCTGAGGAGAACAAATTTACACACAATGAAATTCGTCCAAGTGAGGCACAGATCACACGTGTGTAGAGGGGGTGAGCCAGATACAGAGTCAGCAGGTGCAGCTTGTGAACTTACCGTGGTCTGTTATGCGTGTGCGGCTGAGATTAATTTTAACAAGCTGATTGCAGCGGATCACACCTCTCCTCACGACTGTGTCTCCCACCTGAGTGCTGGCTAATCCCAACACCTATAAAGACAGAAAGATATACAATGAACCGTAGTAAAAAAAGCTCATAGTTCATTTTACTAAATAGGGGAAGCAGGTTATTTATCAGATTGTCCTCAGTCAAATGGTGCAGAGAGATCACCTGAAGGTGCGGCAGACAGACGATGAGCTCAGCAACTCCTCGGCTAGTGACGGCTGTTCGGTCCAAACACAGCTCCTGCAGCTCCTGCAGACCGCGCAGAGAGGGGAGCCCTGCGTCTGTCACCTGGGTGTTGCTGAGTGACAGCTTCTTCAACCTACACACAATATACACAAGATTCTTTTTAACAGCCCTGTTTTAACAGCACTCAGATTTGGCTGTAAGATGTGTTCATTACAGTATAGCAGTTACTAAGTATGGGAATGACCTGCTCATGGTGGAGAGCTGATTGACTCCCTGGTCTGTGACTTGTGTGTAGTCTGTCAAGTCCAGCTCTAAGAGCAGGGACAGATCAGAGAGGTACGCCAACCCGCTGTCATTCACAGAGTGGCGTCCAGGGAGGGTGAGATGAGTCAACTTAAGACCTGGGGAGGAAAAGTAGAAACCACGGTGAGAGTTTGATTCCAAACAGACTTGGAGCATTTTCTTTCATCGTGTCTGTTCCTTCCCAGTTACAGACCTGAGATGATCTGCAGGGCATGATTGCCATCAGCAACAGGAATTCCCGCCAAACTGAGGGAAGACAGGGCAGGGAGGGTGGCGAGGTACTTCAGTGACGCCTCTGTCACATTTGTCCCATCTAGGTTGAGCGTCTGCAGGCTGGACAGCTCTGCCAAAGCCGAGACATCCTCAACCTGGGAAACAAGACACGGAAAGATCATGAGAGAACAGTACACGTTGCTGAACATAATACTGAAATAAAAATGTGCCAGAAGAGATGATGTACCTTTGTCTGCTTGATGCTGAGAAGTCGCAGCTGTGGTACACATGAAGGAAGGACTACCAGCGTAGCTTCTGTCACTGCCGTCTGATTCAGGCTGAGCTGAGAGAGGCAGGACGGAGCTGACTGGAGATATAACACCATCCCTGCATCGGTCACTTTGGTCTGGTCCAGTGACAGGAAACACAGACTGTTCAAACCTTGAAGACACAGGAAGAAGAAGAAAAATACTTTGAAAGCAAGAAAATCATAACCTCATTTAACACTTAATACAAATACTTAACACAGAGCAGCTTATGTTGGGGGTCTGGCATTCTTGCACGTAACTGTAATTGCTGGTGAGGCAGTGTTACATAATTAGTTATCCCTGTATAATAACTGTCTGAGCCTCGTTCACAAGTCTGACCTCTGATATGCTGCAGACAGGAGTCCGTCAGTTTACTGCAGGAAGCGAGGTTGAGGTACTGGAGTTTCACCAGGCTGGACAGGATTGATAGACCAGAGTCTAGAAGGAGATTAAAAAAAATTAGCACAGATGTTGACCAATTCAGTCGAGAAATTACATCCCAGGATAAAGCTTGATACCAGTGATTAGAGGTGAGTTCACAAGACTCAGATGCTTGAGCGCCGTAAAGGCCCTCAACTGCCGCAGGAGCTCATTGGTGGAGTAAGGGTAGCAGTTAAGAACAAACTTCTGCAACGGGCAGCCGAAGAAGAGCTCCAGGGTGCGCGGACGAAGGAGTCTTTCACGGGACATGTGGTTGAGCAGAAGCTCTGCTAGCTCCGGGGTCAGACATGCCAGACTGCTGCTGTACTGCATACTGGGAGCTGAGTGAGTAGAGACAGAGCCAAGAATGACCACAGTTAGTAAACAAGGCAACAAGACCCTGCTTCTTTGAAATCAATGAGTCTTGCAGCTGTATCTCACCGGTCATGAGGTGCACAGTTGCACGAGTAGCCAAGGCACATAGGGATGGTACGCTGGGTGTCCTGAAGGCTCTTTTAGGTGGTGATGGCTGTCCCTGGGAGGAACGGGGGTCTTCTTGCTGCGCGGCACGTTGAAGACGCTCCACTGCAGCTAGACCTGCCGCTACGGGTGCCACCCGACCTCCTGCATCCTCAGGCTCTGCTAGCTCCTCTGCCGGAACCTCCCTGAAACAAGCACACAGCCGTGATTGAATTTTAATGCAAATAATATTGAAGAGTGCGAGTATATCCACAGTCACTGCAAAACTCCAAAAATATATTTATAGTGCTTTATTTGTTAAGCACTGTTCTAAACAAAGTTATCAGGGGAACCCCAAAAAATATCATTAGATCAATAAAATAAAATTTATTTCACACAGACAAAAAGTCGGTAACGTGTATACATTGATTGCTGTCATCCATAGAATCCAGTATCACCACATTACATTAGTCCCATTCCGTTGACACTCACCTGAGTCGATTGCCTTGTTCTGGCCAGTGGTGTCTGGGCTCAAATCCTACTCGAATCCTGTTCTCTGGGAAGAAAGGCAGCCTTGGCATTCCTGTGAAAATGTGACAAAAAAGTAGTTCACAAGAATATTCCAATGTCATCAGACTGAACCACAAAATGAATCTTCTACAGCCTGAAATGTTTCCACTTCACACAGAAAACATTTTAAATTCCACACCTCGAATCAACATCTTTTGTTCTGGATTTGTGATTCTCTCTATATGGAAAGCTACAACTGTGAATATACTTTCCCTCTGTGTCCGGAACACACATTGAATCCTATATCAACACCACATATGCTGTTAGATGGAATATGATTGGCTGACCAGCAGTAAGGACTTAGGGAGCTCAGATGTGATTGGTGGGGCTCAGCACTGTTTGTTTGACAGAAAGGGGCATTCACAGACATATTTCCTAATCCTAATCTTTCTTACACTGGAAACACATTTCTAGAGCAGTCAGTCAAATGTTCACACTGAGAAACTTATGTAATGTAAAGTACAAGAGTCATCATGAGATGACATATCCCACACTCTTCCTGATTGTGAAGTAAAAAGAAAATATTCTACTCAGGAAACAACATAATTACAGACAGATATACGGATCACTTCATTCCCCCACATTGCGACTGGGGGGAGAATAAAACTGAATGAGAGTTAACAGCTGAGAGTGAAGGGGCCACGGCCATCTGTTTCTGATATGAGAGAACGACAGGTGGAGATGAGGAAACAGGAAGAGGGGAGGAGAAAGGGTGGGGAAAGAAAGTAAAACTTAGGTCAAGGGAGGGATGAAGTGTCAATAACGACCTCAGACTAACGGAGCAGTACCGTTCAGCATGTAGGGTGGTTCTTCGTCTCCCTCCTGTTCCTCATCGACCTCTATGCCTGCAACTTCTTCTGCATTACCAGCTACCAACCTCTGGCCTCGTCCTGTGGGGCACCAGAAATACCATAAAACATCTATTGACATAAAATGTAAATAATAATCAACATTCTGGTTGGTTGAATTAACTGGGACGTGCTGTGATGTTCCAGAGGGAAAATCTAGTCACTCATGTAGTAACTCATAGCTGGAGAACGTCAATTGGCTGAAGGTTAAAATCATAGACTGTATTTAGAGATGGACAATTTGACATCGCCAGAGTATCTCGATCACCACCTGGTGTCTGGCTGCAGCATAGGTTATACATCCTGTGTTTTTCTACGCTACTAATACACAGCAAACAAGCTTACAAAGAAAAAACATGTCTGAGGTAAAACAGAATGTGTTTGTATATCTTTATGCCACATTATTTTTCTGTATATAAAGATAATATACTTACCCCAGAAATGAGATGGTCCAGACAGTGAAGCACCAGCTTCAGGGATCCCCGCATAATTGACTGCCTCTTCCCACAGTTGGTTGGGTAGTGGAGGAGGTAGAGCAATGTCCTGCCCTTCGGCTCCCTCCAGGACAGGGATACGAGGCTGGGGAGGCTGGGGAAGCTGAGGAGGCTCAGTGCACTGAGGTGGCTCGTTCTGTACTGCCAATAGTGGATTTGCAGGACTCGGTGGATCCTGGGGCGTTTCTGGAGGAGTGGTCTGAATACAAAGTGCAGCATTGGGTGTTAGGCCCAAAGAGCGCAGCGAGCAAGCAAGTTCTGCCTCCCCAAAACGTTTCCGAGGGAATCCCTGAAGGAGGGAAAAGGAGGGCAGGGAGGGGTGACGTCCAGAGATGTGCTCCATGACACTTCGCAGAGGGGCATCAGCTGGGAAACGTTCACGGATTGACTCACCGGACGGCAGCCGAATCTGCAGCAGAGAACAAAACCCACAATTATGTAAATTGTTTTTTTGTAAGTCTCACACATGTAAACAGAAAATAAGGTTCTTCATTGCCTCACCATGAGGATGCAGTTGTTATCGACATTAGTCTGACTATTTCCTCCAAGCTTCTGCCCTTGGCCACTAGGAGGAGACGTCTCAGTGACGACGGTCTGGATCTTCCTCTGCAAGCTCTTCCGATCCTCAGCTATCCGCTTTAACACTAATTCGCGTTCCTGCCAATACAAAACACATAACATGTTCAGACATTTGCCTCAAGAGATTTTGTTCTCTATTGCCAGTCTGGCTGACTTAGCACTGTTTGGAAGAAGTCACAAGTCCTTCTTTTCTTTACAGCTGACCTGTTTCTTTTGTATTCTCTCTGCTCTGGCCTCCTGAGCAACGCGTTGTCTTTCTTGGTCTTCAAAGTCACTTTTGTCTTGCTTGATGCGCGACTCAACAGGCAGTGGTTCCGGGGACAGGTTGCATGATTGTGACGGCCTCAGCACCAGTGAAGGGGATGCTGTTAAACCCAGAGAGAGTCCAATGAGATAATCTTTTTTTGGCCGTTTTAAACAGCTGATATGATAACAATATCATATTACATTTAGGACATACATTTATCTACTCCAACTGATGCACTAAAGAAAATAACTTTGATACTCTAAGTGCACAACTTCTGGTGCCATACCTCCACTTCCAGATGGAGACGTATGCGACTCTGAAGTGCCTGCTGCCTCTTTAGGTGGGTTGAAAGCAGAAAATGCTGTTTCAGCAGGCTGTGATGACTGCTTGACCAATCTGTGCCGTGGATACTGACCCTGTAAGAGCCTATTAACATATGAGAGAGGGACACAGCATTTACTGAAGGGTGGTTTCCTTTAGTAATGAAAAGAACATTGCTGAATGGCAATAACCGCATGGAATTGAGGAAAGGGCTCTGGGTCCACTCACCACTCAGCTGCATCTGGCACGGAGAAATGTCCTGCCTGCATAGCTGCCTGGATCTGTTCCTCTGTGAAACCCATCTCACTGAGGATGAGGAATAACTCCCCGACAGTCTGCAAAACAAAATCAATCAGTCTCCTGAGCAGCTTGTCTAACATGCCATTAAAGGCCTGTAAGCATGAGTTGACCAAACTCATGCTTAACTTGTGATTGTTTTATTCCTCATCAAAGAAAAAGATTCTGGTTCTATTTAGACTTGACTATCAGTTTATACTTCATTCTATTTAAACTTAATATTATTGGGTTTTTTTTTGTTGTATTTTGTTTCTGCAACAACCATTCATGGCTGCAAAATATAATTGTTATTATCTTTAACAGCAATTAATGTGCTATTACTGTTGTAAAATTGGTTACTCTAGTTCTGTGAGTCGTTACTACAGATTTATAAGTACCTCTGCTTTAAATACTTTTCGACAACTTCGAGTAAACTGAACAATTATGATATAAATGTATACTCTTTATATTGCAGTTTTCTGGTGATAACATCAAGAAGCTGCCTTCATCATTCACAATATTAACATTACCTAGCATTAAAAGTCACTGTTTTAGCGAGGACAACATGTTGGCAGATTGATTTCTCTTTGTGTTTGTGTCCTGCAGTTTCGCTGAGCTGCCGTTTCCGTCTAAACTCTCCGCATCTAAGTGAACGCGAAGTTTCCAGCAGCTGCTTCAGCCTGTGTCGAAGTCAATGCATCACCTGACAGCGAGGTCAGAGGATTGACTGGAAACAACAAGCTAGCCCTGAGCTATCGCCGGGTGCGTTGTTGTGTCTGTTGTGTCTGTTGGCACAGTGGGGGATGTCAACAAGCGACATTAGCATGACGGCTAACAGTTAGCCGCGAGAGAGCGATGGCGAGGATAAAGCAGCTAGCAAGCTAATATCTTTGTGCATTTTTGTGTCATGCAGGCGACGTGTAGCTTACCGAAGAGGCGGGAGAGCTCATGTCGTTGTTTCAGCTTCACCGTGGAGAAAACCACAGACAGACACTGGTGTTATTGAAGAACTTTGTTGACTTCCTGGTTGGTTGTGCAGCGCAGCTTGCTATGTTAGCCGCACTGACCCCTCCCCCTCACAGCTGATGATAGACGGGATATCCACAGCACAGCAGCCAATCAGCGCCGCGGAGAGAACACACCGCCCACAGCTTCTGGACCAATCCGGTCTGCTCTCCAGTGATTGACAGGTCCAACCCCCAACCACTGCCCGACCTCTGACCTCAGTCATCCCAGTAGAAAGTGAATGTGTGGACACAGTAAAAAATAAAGAAGTGAATCTGTGGATTAGGTAAAAAATTAAGAAATGAATGTGTGGACAAATTAAAAAATAAAAACAAACGAAAAAAAGACAGAAAGAAAGAAAGACTGCTATAATCATATTCAAAAGTTCAATATATATGCAACCAATAGGGGTCGCTCTCATTCTGCGTATTGATTTCAACATTCGCACAATTATAAACATATACAACTTTATTGACCGTTTATCAACTTTTACAATGTTCAAGGCAAATAAAGTAAAATGATGTTGTTGTTGTAATTTATTGTTAACGTTAAAACAAAGTGCAATAAATAAATAAGATATTGCAAAATAACAAACACACACACACGATATGAATTATTTTATTCTTGCCGTGTAACCAAATACAATTAGCCATTTCAACTAGATGGATACACACACATAACAGTGTTTTCATCATTAAGGTGTGAAATTAAGGAGTGACTGTATTGACTGATATTTTATCCATATGAATAATATTTGTTGGGAGGATAAGAAGTATTATTTGTGCACTTGTTAGTATGGAGAAAGCACAGGTGTAGTGAGCAACATAAAGAAAAACATCTGTTTCCCATTCACACTAACAGTCCATGATCTGTGCTGTTGTACCAGCTGCTTCACTGGAATGATTTACCAGGAGCTGTGACAAGTCAAAATGTCTGTACAGGTCTTTCTACACACCCAGTGCCAGAAAACAGGAAACAGAGAAGCAGCAAGAGGTCTATAGGTTAATAAAAGAAAGGTTCACTTGGTTCAAACACAAGCAACAGGTAGGAGGTCAGAAAGTTCAGATTAAAAAAAAACAGGAAGCAGGCAGGTCAGGCTATAAACCACTAATGCAATGGTTTATGACTAATTATGAGAAAGGAGTGGCAGGCAGGTGCTCATGCAGGTGACTATAATCATTATATACAGTTTATGAGAGCAGCTGGAAAAGATGAGGATTACTACAGCATGAATAATGTGAGATAGTGAAAATACGAACCCATGACAGTGTGATAATCAAATTATTTTACTTTACAAATATGTGACATATAAACCATTCTCCACAACATTTATTCCACACATTTTCAACATTGAGTAATAAAGCAGGGTCAATCTTGACACCAGGGAATATTGATCATGTAAAACAAACCAGCTGATATGCTTAAAGACAGGAAGTCTGTGGTAAGGGTAGAGATTGTCATATACAGCACAGATTGTGAAGCCCTTTAAATCAAATTAAAAGTTTGATTTGGGGATTAATGAATACACATTCTGTGAGTTATAAATAAGCAGTGATGATTAAACTTAATAGCTTTCATGGTGAAAAAGGACTGCAACTA